TGCTGAGATGCCATTGTGCCATGAGCTCGATGTGGTGCTGAAATGCCATGGGTGTCACGAGCCCGGTATGGTGCTGATATGCCATTGGTACCACGAGCACGGTATGGTTCTGATATGCCATGGGTGCCACGAGCACGGTATGGTACTGTGATGTCATGGATGCCACGAGCACTGTGTGGTGCTGAGATGCCATTGGTACAACGAGCACGGTATGGTGCTGAGATGCCATGGGTGCCACGAGCACGGTATGGTACTGAGATGCCATGGGTACCAAAAGAACGGTATGGTACTAAGATGCCATGGGTGCCACGAGCACAGTATATGGTGCTGATATGCCATGGATGCCACGAGCACGGTATGGTACTGAGATGCCAACGGTGCCACGAGCACGGTATGGTACTGATATGCCATGGATGCCACGAGCACGGTATGGTACTGAGATGCAATGGGTGCCACAAGCACAGTATGGTACTGAGATGCCATGGGTGCCACGAGCACAGAATGGTGCTGAGATGCCATGGGTGCCACGAGAACGGTATGGTACTGAGATGCCATGGGTGCCATGAGCTCGATATGGTGCTGATATGCCATGGATGCCACGAGCACTGTGTGGTACTGAGATACCATAGGAGCCACGACAACGGTATGGCACTGATATGACATGGATGCAACGAGCACGGTATAGTGCTGATATGCCATTGGTGCCATGAACACGGTGTGGTGCTGAGATGCCATTGGTACCACGAGCAAGGTATGGTACTGATATGCCATGGGTGCCAAGAGCACGGTATGGTACTGAGATGCCATGGGTGCCAAGAGCACGGTGTGGAAATAATATGCCATGGGTGCCAAGATCACGGTATGGTACTGAGATGCCATGGATGCCACGAGCGCGGTGTGGTACTGAGATGCCATGGGTGCCACGAGCGCGGTATGGTACTGATATGCCATGGGTGCCAAGAGCACGGTATGGTACTAAGATGCCATGGGAGCCACGAGCACGGTATGGTGCTGAGATGCCATTGTTACCAAGAGCACGGTGTGGTGCTGAGATGCCATTGTGCCATGAGCTCGATGTGGTGCTGAAATTCCATGGGTGTCACGAGCCCGGTATGGTGCTGATATGCCATTGGTACCACGAGCACGGTATGGTTCTGATATGCCATGGGTGCCACGAGCACGGTATGGTACTGTGATGTCATGGATGCCACGAGCACTGTGTGGTGCTGAGATGCCATTGGTACAACGAGCACGGTATGGTACTGAGATGCCATGGGTACCAAAAGAACGGTATGGTACTGAGATGCCATGGGTGCCACGAGCACAGTATATGGTGCTGATATGCCATGGATGCCACGAGAACGGTATGGTACTGAGATGCCATGGGTGCCACGAGCACGGTATGGTACTGATATGCCATGGATGCCACGAGCACGGTATGGTACTGAGATGCAATGGGTGCCACAAGCACAGAAGGGTACTGAGATGCCATGGGTTCCACGAGCACGGTGTGGTACTAATATGCCATTGGTGCCTCGAGCACGGTATGGTACTGATATGCCATGGATGCCACGAGCACGTTGTGGTACTAATATGCCATGGGTGCCAAGAGCACGGTATGGTACTGAGATACCATGGATGCCACGAGCGCGGTATGGTACTGAGATGCCATGGGTGCCACGAGCGCGGTATGGTACTGATATGCCATGGGTGCCAAGAGCACGGTATGGTACTGAGATGCCATGGATGCCACGAGCACGGTGTGGTTCTAATATGCCATGGGTGCCAAGAGCACGGCATGGTGCTGAGATGCCATGGGTACCAAGAGCACGGTGTGGTACTAATATGCCATGGGTGCCAAGAGCACGGTATGGTGCTGAGATGCCTTGGGTGCCAAGAGCACGGTATGGTACTAATATGCCATGGGTGCCAAGAGCACGGTATTGTACTGATATGCCATGGGTACCAAGAGCACGGCGTGGTACTAATATGCCATGGGTGCCAAGAGCACGGTATGGTGCTGAGATGCCATGGGTACCAAGAGCACGGTGTGGTACTTATATGCCATGGGTGCCACGAACACGGTGTGGTGCTGAGATGTCATGAATTCAACGAGCAAGGTAAAACTGATGGTATCACAACTTTAAAATCATCATGGATGCTGTCGAAGCATATGCCAAAAAATGGTCCAAAAGAGAAGAGGAACCCGTTGAATGTCTTTCAGAGTGGCTTAAGTGCGTCATGTTGTCATTGGTAGAATGAACAAACATAGTAGGAGGAAACGGAATCGGAATAAACCCATTCTGTCCCAGCGAGCTGTCATCCAAAGTCCTATGAAAAGTTACTGACCAGGCATCAAATTTCACACCCGTTATATGTAAGCATCACTACATTATTTGTTTAGATCAAAGGCCTTGGTATAGTGACATATCAAATAATGCCACATATAAGGCCAATATGTTAGCTGAGAAAGAAATCTGCCACAACCATGCATCAGTACTATCAACGTTTGACTTGACTCTAAAACCTGACCACATGTCCATTCCTCTTTTGTACTGGATTCCAAAGCTCCATAAAAATCCGTACAAAGAGAGATATATTGCTGGGTCCAGCAAATGTACCACCCAATCCCTGTCTCAAAGACAAGATACAATCAAGGAAGGACTTTCTTTATATTCATCCCGCCTCATCAGTTTCGTAATTAGATCAAGGCATAAAGATTGAGAGTGACAAAACACTCTCAACAAGACTGTATGACAAGAGGGGTGACTTCACCTTTCCAATAGTCAACGTTCCCTTCATGTCGAGCAATATTCCAGCCTTTGGTGTTTACATAACACAACTTCTGAGATACAATCGAGCATGCTCTTTACCGAGATTTCCAAGAGCTTCATACAACTCTTGCTCACAAGTTGTATGACCAAGGTTACAACATTCAAGGCCTCAGTAAAGCTTTCAAAAAGTATGGTGGACATGTGCAGGACATTTCTTCAGTGACAAAATTGATGTCCTATCCAATTCCCAATTTTGACTTGTACCATATGTTCCCGTGTCTTTCAGGTGAAAAATCGAATTGCCTTTGCATGTGTTTGTGACGGGTGCCACCGGTGGGGCAGGATACGCTCATCTATAATTACACGAACACCTGGTATCATCACTTTTTGATAGTGATTCATAAACAAATGCTCATGATAGAGTCGAAGTCGTACAATCGAAAGGGTTTTGTTGCTTATATTTACATGCTAAGGATCCCAGGAGAACTGTCGTGTGTGCTAAGATGCCATGGATCCCACGAACATGTTGTAGAGCTGACATGCCATGGATCCCAAAGCACGGTATTGTGCTTACATGTCATGGATGCCTCGAAAACCATGCCATGGACCTCACGAGAACTGCAGTGCTGATATGCCTTGGAACCTACGAGCACGGTATGTGGCTGGAATGCTGTGAATCCCTAGAGTACAGTGTTGTGCAGACATGCCATGGATCCCAGGAGAACGATCATGGGTGCCACGAGATATCGCTCCGGACATACTAGGGATCACACGAGCAAGGTGTAGCGCTGATCATGACATGCCATAGATCCCACGAGCCCGGTATTTTGCTGACATGCTATGAATCCTACGTTTACGAAGATGTGCTGACATGCCTTGGATCCTAAGAGCAGTGCGTGGTCCTCCATGACATTTCGAACAAGTGTGAAAATAATGCCGTTTAAGACATTGCAAATCGACAATGGCTGCGTTTTGACGCACCGTTTGTCGAATATCAGGCCACCAACATTTTCCAATAACATATATCAAGTTTATATACTGGATTTTTCATGCTGTCAGGTTCAATGAACTACATACTAACTGTGCGTTTCTTTTTTTTAAGAGCGTATCTTGTTTTTAATGTCCCTCTAATTCTATACAGTCGGTTTTCCGGACTTGAGGAGTAAGGCGTAACGGGTAAGAGGCGACTAACGGGATCGGGTCTTGAGGCTCGCTGACTTGGTTGATGCATGTCATCGTGTCCCAAATACATAGATCGATGTTCATTATATCAATCACCGGATTATCTGGTTCAGACTCGATTATTTACAGGCCGCCGTCAATTAAGCTGGAATATTTCTGAGAGCAGCGTTAAACAACAAACACAATCATGACTCAGCTTGATTCCCAAAACAATTAATTTGAACTTATAAGTGAGGTGTTGTTTCTATTTGGTCCTACAGCGGTCAGTTATACCGTCCTGCCGACAGCACAACATGCAGATGCCAGGGCTGCCTGCCTCGCCATCAACCAGAAACTACTTACTGTGCAGTCATTGAGGGAGAAGGCTGCGCTTGATGCGTTTGTCTCGTCAACCAATTTGTAAGTTGGATTTTCAAGGTTGATAGTAATTAGTTAGTTGGTGTAGAGATATGAAAATGTATATTTGATTTATTATATTTTCCTCATCCGTATACAGTTCTTGAGTTCAGCAGCGAAGAACCGATATTCCTTTAATAATTTAGTTTCAAAAATCCCCTTGGGCAGTTCCCCCCCTTCCCCCACCCCCTTAGGTCATTTTCCCCCAGGTCAACGTCTTGTGAAGTCAACGTTATATCCTGGTCCTAATCCAAACCAAGACTATTTGGGGTAAATTAATCCATCTAAATAAGTCTACACATGTTTTTTGGTGATGGGAGAGTAGCCTCTGTATTGCTATTTACTAATTCAATTACAGCTTATAATTAGTTAGTTGTTCAACTCATCCTTTCCTCTTCATGGTGGAGGGAGGAAATTAAGCTAGGGGTGATGTAAGGGGGTGCGGGAAATTTGACCCCGGGGGCAATTGGCTGGGGATGCGTGATACCGTGTATGTTTTAAAATGCAAAATAGGTGATGTCGACGCCACAAAACAGTCGAAGACCCGCGACAACACTGACATCATGCCTAAGACGCCTTCGTCCTTTCGAAAATGTCAATGTATGGTCCATTTTCTATGATACTTTGTATCTTCAGGGTAACTGATCCGTGGATTGACGTCACTTATGACGCGGTACAGGAAAAGCACGTTCTTCATACAGGAATGCCGGTCACGTGGTCAGACTGGCTGAACATGTCCGCGCCACTGGAGCCGAAAGACGCCACAGTGAAGAGGTGCGTCAAAGCGGATCGCACCAGCGAGCACTCATGGCACACCACCTACTGTCATGACACATACTGGGCTTTATGCGGAGGTAATGTCACAATTATAAACAAAGTTAAACAAAAATTACACCATAAATATTAAGGCATATTTCTTTTGGCTGTTCTCTCAGTATTTTGGCCAATGTAGTTCTTTTTCAGAACCTGCTTACATTTTCAAAATATATATTGATAAACACTTGACCTCGGATATTGCTGTGGACTAATAATGAGTGTTGATTCACTGTGTATGTAAAATGTACTGACACGATGGGGTTCCTGGTCAGAATAGGTCCCCCAGCTACCTGAATGGGTCAAGGCGACCATGAGGATCAGGTGGTCAGTATCGGTAAATATATGATTGCATGTCATTGTACCATGATCTCGTAGATCATTGATCCCTGGATTGTCTGATCCAGGCTCGAGCTTTTATATGTCGTCGTCATGTAGAGGAAAGATTGCTGGGTGTGGCATTAAACAAGAAGCAAACAGATCTTAATACCAAGACCCCCGGGAGAAACCCCTGTTGTAATTACACGGAAAGGGAGGGTCAAGTCCGAGTGTCTTGTTTGATGTACTCCACCAACCCTCTGTTCGACTTCCCTTGGCATCCCAATGGGCAAAGGCGACCCAGTGGATCGATGCGCGGCTATGTGGTGTGGAAATTGCCACGCTTTACTCGTATGACAATCCGTGTTTGTGAGTTCGAATCTCGAAACCGGCACGGTTATCATCAGCATACCCGAATTCAGAGGTTTCACCAAAATGGCAAACGTTTCGATCAGCCCCGTTTCTGGCTTTTGCCCATCATCACTTAGAAACATCGTGTTGTCAAGCGTTAGCAAATTGTAGACAGCAGCGACACTCCTGACACCTTCTAACGATGAAGGGGAGGTCGAGTAGCCTAGTGGCCAAAGCGTTCGGTCGTTACGCCGAAGACCCGGGTCCGAATCTTGACATGGGTACATTTTGTGAAGCCTATTTCTGGTGTCCCCCGCCGTGATATTGCTGGAATATTCCTAAAAGAGGCGTAAAACCAAACTCACTCACTCACTCTAAGGATGAATTTCTACCGGCAGGTAGGTGTCGCACCAGATATAAGTATCGGAAACTTAAAAACAGACTAGGAATTATTCTCACTTTTGGAAAAGAACGGTCAGGGTTATTGGTAAGGGATATTGATTCCTTGTTAAGACCACTTAACTCAGTGTCAATACTTATAAGAATGGCATTATCCCGTTCTTCAGATTACAAACGTTTTTAGGTCGTTGTTTGCTCAATGTGTTTGACAAGCTCCTTTCGTGACAGCAATATGACTATTATATCCGCCAGGCATTGATATCAGTAGTGTTCTTGTGTGCAATATCGACAGGCGGTTGCCATGTGCTCTGTTGTTGCTACAGAAATCCGGTCCAAAAACATCAATGAATAATTTTAACCATGAGTGAATACCTCTTGACAAAGACCTTGAACAAATGTAGCTATCGCTACATGTTGCATCACTTATGTTTACCATGCTGTCAGCACACACTTCCACTGAAAGAAATGAAATAATTTTCTGTCTTCCAAGTGGTTCTGTCATCCATGTTGCATTCTCACTATTCCATTCCAGACTCAGGACTGTACTTCAACCTGTCGGTGATGTCGTACACTGAAGCCAAGGCGGCGTGTGGCGCACAGGGTTCCGTCGTAGCCAAAATCGAGAACCAAGAGCAACTGGACGCCTTGGCCGACGTCCTAGACAATATTTCAACGTACGTAGTTTGCGTCTATGCCTAAATACAGTCTCATAAAGTTGTTGTTGGGGAGTTGTAGTATCAATAAACAGGCAGATTCATTGATTTAAACTTCTTTATTCTTTTAAATTACGTTTCGGTACAGGTGCAAGTACCTTTATCTAGTGCGTGATCAACAGTACCGAAACAGAAAATCAAAGCCTTTGAACATGAATCACCTGTACTGTTGATACTGCTCTCCCTTGCTGTCAGGCAATGTCCATGTATTGACTCTTTTAAGGCAGCTCTTAACTTCCATTTTGTCAACTCCACCATAAGTAATCTCCTCTTGACCACTATGTCTTTAATGTACCGCTGTGACCATGCATCAGTTGGTGGATTCGGCACATAACAAATGTTTATTATTATTATTATCATTATTAGTAGTAGTAGTAGTAGTAGTAGTAGTAGTACAGTAAACTACGGTTATAACGAACTCAAAGGAACCACTAATTTTAGTTCGTTATAACCGTAGTTCGTTATAAGCATATATACAGCATAACTACAGCAAATAGTCAGGACAAAAAAGTAAGTTCGTTATAAGCGTGTTCGTTACAAACGTAATTTACTGTATTATTTTTATTATTATGATTATTATTATTATTAGAGGTGGTTGTGGCTGTTGTAGTAGTAGTGGTGGTAGTGGTAGTGGTAGTGGTAGTGGTATTTCTTCAGATGATTTTTTTCAGAAACAATTCCTTCCATACCAGACAATTGAGGCAGCTGATCTCATGACTGAAACTATCACAGGCTCAGACCTGTTCAGCCATCTAACTACGAAGGTCCTATAGTACACCCTCATTAGTTCGCATTTTTCAGTACAATACTTTCAGCGCTTACGGGCTGCATTTGAACCAAATACACAAGACGGCAGCATACCTCTCCAGGCAACACAGTCACTGGGTATTCTCTGTTGATGGTAAAATTGGCTCCGCGCTGTCATCAAGTATGTCCAACTGTAAGAGCTAACACCTAGGAACATAATCGGGGCGAACCGGGATTCGAACCCACAATCATAGGTTTCTGGCGTGTCCAGGGGACGCAACTCTGCACAGCGAATCGCGGCGCCTTAGACTGGGTCCCCCGAGCCCCCTAATAAGTTTAAAGCAATATACGAGGGGTGATTGAACAGTTCTGAGTCTAATTATGATGCACTGCGTTGATGGACTTGGTTGTTAATTATGTTTCAACATGCTCGTTGATGTTGGTGTTAGCTCTTACAGTTGGACATACTTGATGACAGCGCGGAGCCAATTTTACCATCAACAGAGAATACCCAGTGACTGTGTTGCCTGGAGAGGTATGCTGCCGTCTTGTGTATTTGGTTCAAATGCAGTCCGTAAGCGCTGAAAGTATTGTACTGAAAAATGCGAACTAATGAGGGTGTACTATAGGACCTTCGTAGTTAGATGGCTGAACAGGTCTGAGCCTGTGATAGTTTCAGTCATGAGATCAGCTGCCTCAATTGTCTGGTATGGAAGGAATTGTTTCTGAAAAAAATCATCTGAAGGAATACCACTACCACTACCACTACCACTACCACTACCACTACCACCACTACTACTACCACAGCCACAACCACCTCTAATAATAATAATAATCATAATAATAAAAATAATACAGTAAATTACGTTTGTAACGAACACGCTTATAACGAACTTACTTTTTTGTCCTGACTATTTGCTGTAGTTATGCTGTATATATGCTTATAACGAACTACGGTTATAACGAACTAAAACGCCGGTTCAAATCTAAGTTCAAATCTCGGTTCGGCCCGATTGTTTGTTTGTCAGCACCATACCCATGCTCGTGGGTTTCACCAAAGTGGTAAACGTCTGAGACCTGCATCACTTCGGGCTTTCCTCCATTAAGCTGACACGCCATGATATAACTGGAATACTGTTAAAAGCGTCGTTAAACTCAACTCACCCACTCACACACTTTAAACTTATTACATGTAAGTTTACGTATCTGAGTTTCATTCCAGTGATAAGAATCACCTCAGGGTGTCGTGAGTTTAACTCAGATTATATATCAGGTCGCGTATGTAGTATACGGAGTGGAGCACTTTGACCCGTAAAAAGGCGTAATGAGGCTTAATGAAAATTACCTAGAAATGAGGCTCCTTACGTTTATCATGCAAAATCAGTATGAATCAAATTAGGTATTATGGGTTTTGTGCATGATGTAATACCATTTGAATAGGTTTGTATGAGACGATCCGAAACTTGAATAGCTGATATTGGAAGTTTCATCAGATGCAGGTTGGGATAGGGTTCCTCAATATACAGCATGAAGCAGGTGAGCTGCAGATCCCTTGACCCTTTCATTTGTCTTTGCCTGCTTCTTTTTCAATATGAAAGGGCAAGGCCAAAGAAAAACCAGTTTCGATTTGGGTCCATTGGGCAGTGCAGATTATGTGAATGGATTACTGAACATCAGTGATAACACGAGGTGTTCGGGGAAAGGGCAGAAGGATGGTTGTACACCCTATAACTCTGTAGTGTGAGACATGGTAGTGTTTGACAGTGTTTAACGGTGTATTTAAAACTGTGCTGAAAACTGTGATTTTATTTACCATCCCAGCTCTGGCCTCCTCTGGCTTGGCATGGAATTTAATGACACTGGCCACGTGTTCATGGACGGAAGTGAGGTCACGTGGTTCAAGTGGGCAACGTTAGACTTCCGTGAACCTGACGACCTGTCGTGGAAACACTGTGTGGTGTATGACCACGAGTACCGGGGCTGGAAGGCGAGGCAGTGCACGAACCCTGCTCCTGTCATCTGTCAGGAAAAGAAAGGTCAGTGAACTCTTCATGCTGGTGTAACTGGTATGACGGGAGACCTCGCAGTCTGACTACATGTACTACTTCTGACTTAACTAAATATGGACTGTTATGAACACGGATATCGTGCTGACAAACCAAGAAACACTGTTTCTGGCACGTTTAAACTAGGCTACTCGCTTCCAATAATCATGTTTGCATAAGTTCATGTCCAATCTCCCCTCCAAGTCCACCTCCAAGTACTAACAGAAGATCGAAAATGAAGAATTGATGCGTAGCTAGATGTACCGTAGATAGGCACAATATGTAGTATACATGTTATGTTGTTCATGGACAAATATCATGAACTGTATGCGAGGATTTATCATTGTTTCGCTTGTGAAAATACAAGCGACAGTTCACGGTAAGTGCAATCTTATCATTTACATCAATTGCTAGTAAGTAATTGATGATTGTAATCCATAAAAAATATCGACCATGCTGGAAATGCCTGTTACACAGTCATTCCATTAAATCGCCATTGATATCAATTGATATAAAAATACGGGTTTGTTTATGTGATCAAACAATAAGTATAAAACTGTCAATAAGTGTCAGGGTGACATAAAATGTTTTATGGTGCAGAAAAACAGAGCCCGACGACTCGCTTTGTAGTGTTCACTTGACAGGGGTACGAGATTAAATATTTCTTTGGCATTTTGGTTTTTGAAATTTATTTTATGATTGCAGTCACTCCCAATTACAAGCTTCTGAACACTGATGTCGACCTGGTCTTGACGCCATCTTCAACCATAGAAACGAATGTCCCCAACAAGTGCGCAATCACCTGTTATGACCAGTCTTGTACCCATTTCACCCTCAATGGAGCAGAGTGCCGTCTCTATGCCGCCACAGGAGTGCCAACACAGACGCCGCTCGTGGGCGCCACGCTCTGGATTGAGGACGAACAAGACTAAACATCTTACCCAGGAACGTGAATTTGTTATGACCTCAGACCTCTCATACTCCGGAGAAAAGAGTTTCCACTTGCCTATATCTACATATGTTTTTCACCCTTGCCCTTTCAAGCCGACCTTTCTATGCTAGAACAGACACGCTCGGCTAAAGCCTATCGTACATTTCGAAAGCCCAATCAGATAGCATATCCGGGCTCCGACAACATGGCCGCTGCTATGGCCTCAACTGTCGAGTGTCAAATTTGTGCTGACAATGGTCCAGCAATTAAGCGAAGATAAATACTTTCGAATTATTTGCAAGTTTTCAATCAACTCGCCTGAATACCTTCATAGATATGAGTTCAAACTTCATTGTATATGATCTCGAACGACTGAACGCGAATCGCTGTGACTGAGATGCAGTGCTGTTTTTGGACGAATCATGTTGAAGGTTTGATGTCATCGCGATGTGCAGTGTTACTGGATACTGTGTGGTCCGAGAGCCTCCATTAACGTACGAGCTAAATGCGGCAGTAATAAGTATAGCCACACTGGTAATATGTCATTTTGTTTGTCGGGGATGAAATCTCATATCTTTTCATTATTTGATTGTACAGGGGTCTGCTATTAAAAGTCGCCATATTTGTGAAGCCATACGAAATATGAACAGCGATCTGATTGGATGTCGCAGTTTCTTCACAACCCGTGCTCTACAAGCCTTAGATTGAGTTACGAAATGTCGGATTGAAAGGACAAGGGGTAAACTAGACTTTTACTTAGTAAGTAAACACTCTGGCCTCAGGAAGATTCAAACCCCTGTGTAGTGGCTACATCTGACACGAAGGCCCGTACGTCTAACCACGCAGGAATCTGGTTTTATTTGTGAATCTGTGTTTTTTCTGTACGAACGTTAAACAGAAACAACGCGTTCCTTTGGTGCATAGGTCAATTATGTATTCTTGAATGATGAATAAAGATTATCTGTCTCTTCAACACAGTAAGCGGCTTTCCTTCCAGTGATGTTGTGAATGTTCCGTATCTCCTTGTCACGCATTATCTATCTGTATGGTTGTGTGTCTGTCTGTATTGTTGTGTGTCTATATGTATGTTTGTGTGTCTGTCTGTATGGCTGTGTGTCTATCTGTATGGTTGTTTGTCTATCTGTATGGTTGTATGTCAATATGTATGGTTGTGTGTCTATCTGTATGGTGTGTGTGTCTATCTGTATAGCTGTGTGTCTTTATGTATGGTTGTGTGTCTATCCGTATGGTTGTGTGTCTATCTGTATGGTTGTGTGTCTATCCGTATGGTTGTGTGTCTATCTTTATGGTTGTTTGTCAATCTGTATGGTTGTGGGTCTTTATGTATGGTGGTGTGTCTATCTGTATGGCTGTGTATCTATCTGTATGAGTGTGTGTCTATGTGTATGGTTGTGTGACAATCTGTATGGTTGTGTGTCTATCTGTATGTTTGTGTGTCTATCTGTATGTTTGTGTGTCTATCTGTATGGTTGTGGATCTATCTGTATGGTTGTGTTTCTATTTGTATGTTTGTGTGTCTATTTGTATGGTTGTGTATCTATCTGTATGGTTGTGTGTCTATATGTAATACTATGGTTGTGTGTCTATCTGTATGGTTGTGTGTCTATCTGTATGGTTGTGTGTCTTTATGTATGGTTGTGTGTCTATCTGTATGGATGTGTGTCTATCTGTATGGTTGTGTGTCTTTATGTAATACTATGGTTGTGTATCTATCTGTATGGTTGTGTGTCTATCTGTATGGTTGTGTGTCTATCTGTATGGTTGTGTGTCTTTATGTAATACTATGGTTGTGTGTCTATCTGTATGGATGTGTGTCTATCTGTATGGTTGTGTGTCTTTATGTAATACTATGGTTGTGTATCTATCTGTATGGTTGTGTGTCTATCTGTATGGTTGTGTGTCTATCTGTATGGTTGTGTGTCTTTATGTAATACTATGGCTGTGTATCTATCTGTATGGTTGTGTGTCTATCTGTATGGTTGTGTGTCTACCTGTATGGTTGTGTGTCTATATGTATGGTTGTGTGTCTATCTGTATGGTTGTGTGTCTACCTGTATGGTTGTGTGTCTATCTGTATGTTTGTGTGTCTATATGTATGGTTGTGTGTCTATCTGTATGGTTGTGTGTCTATCTGTATGGTTGTGTGTCTACCTGTATGGTTGTGTGTCTACCTGTATGGTTGTGTGTCTATCTGTACGGTTGTGTATCTATATGTATGGTTGTGTGTCTATGTGTATGGTTGTGTGTCTATCTGTATGGTTGTGTGTCTACCTGTATGGTTGTGTGTCTATCTGTATGGTTGTGTGTCTATCTGTATGGTTGTGTGTCTATCTGTATGGTTGTGTGTCTATATGTATGGTTGTGTGTCTATCTGTATGTTTGTGTGTCTATCTGTATGGTTGTGTATCTATATGTATGGTTGTGTGTCTATGTTTCTGGTTGTGTGTCTATCTGTATGGTTGTGTGTCTATATGTATGGTTGTGTGTCTATCTGTATGGTGGTGTGTCTATCTGTATGGTTGTGTGTCTACCTGTATGGTTGTGTGTCTATCTGTATGTTTGTGTGTCTATCTGTATGGTTGTGTGTCTATCTGTATGTTTGTGTGTCTATCTGTATGGTTGTGTGTCTATCTGTATGTTTGTGTGTCTATCTGTATGGTTGTGTATCTATATGTATGGTTGTGTATCTATCTGTATGGTTGTGTGTCTATCTGTATGGTTGTGTGTCTATCTGTATGGTTGTGTGTCTATCTGTATGGTTGTGTGTCTATCTGTATGGTTGTGTGTCTACCTGTATGGTTGTGTGTCTATCTGTATGTTTGTGTGTCTATATGTATGGTTGTGTATCTATCTGTATGGTTGTGTGTCTAGCTGTAAGGTAGTGTGTCTATCTGTATGGTTGTGTATCTATCTGTATGGTTGTGTGTCTATCTGTAGGGTTGTGTGTCTATCTGTAGGGTTGTGTGTCTATCTGTATGGTTGTGTGTAAAAGTAGTAAGAAATTGTGCCCACGTTTCATGAAAACCACCCATGCCTAAATCGGCCTTAACTTTGTTCTTCGAAAACCAATGTTATACAGGATTAATCTAAAATATCAGCTGACGAAACCAATTCCGTAATATGTCAAACTGAAAGTTCCAAGTGAGGATCACGTCTCGGGTGGCTTCGTCAGCCGAGCTAGACTGTTTGCGTGAAGATGAAGATCACGGTTCCATAACTGTTCCTATATACATTGAAACAACAACTTCGGGACATGCTGAATGATATCAGGTTACGATTATAACTGTCAGTCCTGTACTTATATATCAGGCAGGTATACATGAACACTGGGGATTTGTTATTATAAAGGAAGGAAGGAAACGCCAAGGTATTTTCATGATTGAAAAGAAAGTCCAGGGATCATTACCCCTGATCAACCAATCAGTTTGTGTTTATACACCATTACTGTTCATGGCGTGTTCCGTGCCGGGTGTATAGGAGTAAACAGATTCGACACTCAAAGCAGGCTTTTTTTTAAACGCCACATTGTACGTGAATCACGATCGAGTACGTTTACTGTAATTAACAATGGGATGCAGTCTGAGGAATATTGTCACCCGATTCAAGTACAACGTTAATGAAGTGGCAGTAAAATGACTCTATACTCGCTCTGGTGTGGAAACAGTTGCGTCTCCTGGGTCCCTGGCTTCGGGGAGTGTCCCTCGGTTATCGGTTTAGACTATGTTTCTTTCAAATATAATTAAACAATCCATACAGGGGAATTCTGTTCGGGGCAATTTGCAGTCCAAGGTAAATGTGAATTAAATTGTTGAAACACCTCTACGCTTGTTCACTAAAACACATTTTTGTTGATCAATAGTACATTTAATGATCAGACAGACAATTTGACAGTTTCATAAAGAGGACTAATTAAAATACCAAGGGGTAGACTTAAAATGGGCAAGAGAATTGTTGAACAAATTCCATCTGTAAAGTATTGTTTGGTGCACAAAGGCCGAATGTTTATTTTCGCTGACCCCTCCAGCCAGCACGTGACCTATTCACTACGTACCCACAAGGCATATCACGTCCACGACAAGGCCTATAAATCAACGTGGGGAACAATATTGCTCATATCCGCGTGTTAATTGTGCACGATATATCACAACCTTCAGGCATACGCACAAAATATCCCAGTGTTATAAATCGTTTTAGCCTTCAAGTTATTTGTATTTATCTGCATGTATATTGCCAATAGTGAATCTGTATTGAAATCCAAGCTATATTATTCTAGAGCTATGCACAGTAATAAAGGGCCACACGAGCGCATGTTGTCATTGCTGCTCCTCGTAGCGGGTGTATATGGGCGAAAACGTCACACCCAGCTTTGTGATATAGCTGTGAATACAGCTTTTCTCTGTAGCACTATGGCCTTTGTAAGATTATTCCAGTGTGTTTTGGAGGCACACAGTCGTTACCCAGCTAGATCTAACCAAACGGGCGGTCATACTGCCATTATACTGTAACCTGCCTTGCCACACAGAGACAACTTAAGTCTGTATTTGTTTATGTCGATGGTATGTCTATATCTGCTGGATAACAGCCGGAACGGGATATTAAAGTGGTACAGTCAATGAGTTGGGTTCAACGCTGCTTCGAACAGTATTCCCGTTGTATCATGGCGTGTCAGCTTAATGTGGGACTAAGTCCCGAAGTACTGCAGGTCTTGGTGAAACCCACTAGAACGGTAAAAAGCTGACAGACCTAGAAGATTCGAACTCACGAACATAGGTTTCTGACACACCCAAGGGACGTAACTCTGTACAGCGAATTGCGGCGCCTTCAACGTCAACAGTGGGGCCTCCCTGAGAGTGAATAATGTTTTACCCCGAAACATGAATTGTTCAACTGTTCGGGATTTAATTATGTAATGGAACATTCAGTTCATGTTTTATGGTTGACAGGCGCAGATATAGGCCGCGCACACAACGACAATTGAACATGACTGGAAATGAGTCAATCTAGCTATACCCCAGGCCTGTCGGAACAGTTGTCAAGCTTTCATGAGACTAGGCCAACGACACACGATCACATGAGCGTCATTCAAATTTCATTATACCGATGTGTTTAGACTGAGACAAGCTTCCTATAACGATACTTCAGCTTCTTCATATCACACACACACACACACACACACACACACACACACACACACACACACACACACACACACACACACACACACACACACACACACACACACACACACACACACACACACGTGTACAGCGGGGATATATAACCCAAGTGGGCCCACGAGTGTTACGTCACTTCAAATGTGAATCGGGTCTTTGCAATGGCAGCTGTGTGAAGTACACGACTGCAACATCGTGTATGTTGTCGTTAGCCAATCGATGCTCACACTATCAACCACTGGGTTTCTTGACCAAGGTCTGTTCCACGTCCTAGCTGTTATTGGTTTAAGACGAAATTGACTCACAACTGAGTTGAAATAAATTTACTTAATGTATTGACCTTGTGAACCATATTTGTATTCTGACGTCTGGAGAATACACACGAGGCCGTAACAAGCATACATGTAAAAGGATGGTGATATGACAGCAATTCGTCCTTCTGTGGCCGATGTTGACATAGAGCTGAGGTAGGGCGGATCCTCCAAGCACAACACATGGCCACAGTGAACATACAATATGTACATTATCCACGTCGCCTCTTTAAAAATACATGTAAACATGGGTAGTTTAAGGAGACCGATGTATGTAAACATAGAGTATACACGGTACATGTGGAGGTCGTTTAAAGAGACTAATGCTATTTACTTGAAGTTGGGAGAAGCTAGGTGAAGCTAAAAGGCCAAACAATTCCGACTTAACAAGAAAATGTTCTTTACATTGATAT